GATCATGGGTGTGTTCGGTGTCACCACCGCACCCACCGCCAAGTAGAAAACAAGGAGAGCCGTGCACAGATGTGTATTATAAAACATGTCGAGTTTCTCGAGAGGCTTGCGTTCCTTGACGGCATGAGTGTAATCATCCGCCAAAATTGCAGTGTAAGACTCCTTCCCATCAGAAGAGAGAGGCCTGGTAGGAGGCGGTGTTGATATACGACGAGGCGCCGGAGCGTTGTATGTTTTATCAATATGTGGGTTCTCAACAACCGATAAAAATACGAATTGTGCGGCATGGGCAGCCAAGGATATAAACAAGACCGGATATGATGCTACTATCAGAGATATCCCCTATACCCATAGTCAGCTGGTGTGCCTCAACAAAATTCATATGAAGAATTTGACGTACATAATAACCGGCGTACCCAACAGAATACATAGGATGAGGTGCCATTTCGAAAACACCATCGAATGCCAAATTCTGGTCAACCATGAAAAAGAAGTCTCCCCAGTCTAACTTTCAACCGTACCAAAAGCTGTTAGCACTGCCAATCCCAATTGGGAGATACAATGTTTAATGGACCAGAGGCCTGAAGCTGCTGAAAATTGTATTCTAATACGGCAATGAAAACTTACACCAAGCGTAGCCTTTCACAACTCTATGAGCATCAAGCTTAACCCATAAATTGAACATGAACACGACAATCCCGCCAATCCACCGCCCGGCAGTTAACCCCATACCTCTCCGGCAGGTACATGTGCACAAGATATGGCGAATAGCACATAGCTCACAAAATCACACATAAGGACAAGATCGACTGCCCTCCTGAACACCAACCAGGTATTGTATTCTATGGGGGCCTTCTCGAAAACATAATCCCCGCTCCTGACCTCGTCAGATATCTTTGCCTCGATCTCGTGTTTAACAAGTGCACAGATGCGAGGGTTCATCTTCGCATCGAAGATACCAGATTTCCGCGCCCACCAGACTAGACGCTTGTGATTCGATTGATTTCGAAGCGGATAACCAATACCGAAATTATACGAAGTTCGCCAAAGGGCAAAGAGACAACCCAAAATGGGCGGCGGAAGGAGAAACAAAAGGGCGATATGGATGCCGAGAATAACGAGGATGACAATGTTTGACAAATCTTTGGGCTGTCTTGGTGAAAGTAGAGTAGAGACCATGTCATGAGTCCGGGGAACAACGAAAGCTGTAGCGATTGACTCGAAACAAGCTGAAAAGCTTATTCCGAGCAACGGGGGAACGGGCACCGACTTGTTCCGTCGGGAGTCCGGCCAAAGGTTTTCCCCGGTTTTAAAGCGTCCTCGTTGTCAACGCTCTCGATTATGATACCTCCACCTCTTTTATTGCGGTCGAAGTTTCCATTTTCCCATCTCCCTTTGAACGATCCCTTAGGCTAGTGCCATTCGACCCTTCCAAGGCACTCGAAGCCATGTATGCAATGATTTGTTTTCTCGCAAGTGCTTCACCAGCCAAGAGTGTAGATAAAGGTTTGAGCAACTAAGGGTCCTGTTGAAGGACCTGCTAGGTATAGGAACTAAAATAGGAAGAAGTTGATGAATATAGATTAGACGGGGGAGGGGGGGGTGATGAAGTGAGAAGAAGGTTTATTAAGATAAGGCGGCTTCTTAAACCAGTCAGGACACAGTGGAGGTTCACAGGGAGGGTGTAGGAATGATACCGGTATAGTTGGCCCGAGCGGCGACAAGAAGCGAAACACGCTGTTGGGCTTGCAGCACGAGCAGAAGGGCGAAGCCAACAGATCAGGCCGTACAATATGATACCACAGCCAACGAGAACGATGAAAAAAAGTCAACCCCCGAACAGTGATCCCCTCCGGGCTAGGACAGCGAAGTCAAAGGCTTACCGTAGGAATGGAGATCGGGACAGTTGTGATGTGTTCTCTTCAGAGGTTGCTTTCATGGTTAACCGCCTAACACATACCAGGTTACAAGTGATCCTACAAGACCCCCAACCACACGACAGGTCACTGGCTCCCTTTCAAGGCCCCGCACAAGAACTCTCGCCGTATCATATGCTACCAGTGTATTGCATAATAATATTATTGTATCTCATATATTGTTGCTCACCAGACTCTGCCAAGGCCTTGTGCTTGAGACCCTGTGTTTGCGAGAAACCTGAACCCCAGTCTGAATTTTAAAAAAGAGGCCTCTTCTGAGGAGGCCCCCAGCACCCAGAGTACCGGTACAGTACATTGGTTGGAGGCAAAGTTCCATGATACCGGGATGATACCATGAACAAGCCAGGCCAGTCGCCTGGTTCTTCTCTCTTTTGAAGCTTTAGTCTAACCAACATTCAAAGTGGAGCAGAACTGATGTATTATTTGCGGAGCCCAAGATCCAGCGCTATTGTTAATAGGGCCAACAGCTTCCACAACTGCCCTGTTCGCATCGCTTGCGCGTGAAACGTGAAAGCCTTGCCCCTTTCTGAACCGCGGTATGACCAGATACATGTCAGGTACGGTACGGCGCCGGCAGTCGATCAAGTCAATATAGGAAAGGTGGTAAAAACGCTTCCCAACAGTCATATTATCAACATCATCTCCCGGACCGGCAAGAGATTGAGAGTTTCGTGCTTTCCCTGTCCGTTCCCGAAGCCCAGATGACTGAGGAGTGTTCGACCCGCCATCATACCGGAGTGATGCCTCAGCCAGTATTCTTCAATGAGAAAACTTTTCAAATACCATGGAAAACAGGGGGGTACCTTTATAATACCATTCTTGGCAAAAACATACCATTGCAAGGTTTCACATTGCAACAATTAACAAAATATTCACTCTAGCACAGAGTTTCCCAGTCTTTTTACCCCTCAAACAATCCAAAAATATTGTAAAAAATTTCATGAAAAAAGCCAGAACTACTTGAGACCTGCTAATACTTTTTAAAATCTTTTCTAGCAGTTTTCTTAGGATTCCTGGCCCAAAGAATCACAAAGAACATACTACTATTAAGCGAGGTCAGACCAATGAGGTTCTGTGCGAAGGTTTGACTTTTTCGATGGTATATTTCTCAGTCAATGGTATCCGGAAGGTTTTTTCGCCAAGAGCATAGTATTGAAAAGGTTCACTCATCCTTCAATGATTACCAGCGTAGGCATGGTCACACAGCCAATATTAACTTAGTTACTCGTACAGTACAAAGTGTGCACAATGCCGGGTCGATGGTGCCCCTTTAGCCAGCTGGTAAATTTGGATTGATTGAATGCACATCGGCGAAATTTTGGTCATTGGTGGGAATCTGCTTATCATCCTTTGTCTTGTCAGTCGAGGAGATAAAGTGCTATGATCAGAGTAGAGTAAGGAATCCTAACACTCCAAGGCTCCAAGTCGTCAATGATATTGTGCATTGACAAAATTAAACGTGAGTCAACAATCAGTAGCAAGCCACCACTCTTCATCACCCCGCACACTCAACAGTACCTAAAAAAATTCCTCTAAGTCAACCAAGAAAAAACCATCCTTCTCAATGGTCTTTTTTTAATAAAATATGCCTCCTATTCTTCGTAGTCATGTCAAAAAATGATATTCCCTCCACACATCTCTCTGAGTTTACCAAGGGGAGTATTCGCGGATTACATGAGCCTTGGATGAGATATCACCAAATTTCTCACTTCCTTAATATCCCCTACACTACCATCCAAGACACAATTGTAAAATGACATTAAGCGGACATGGAGGATACAGGTAGAGGAAGACATCTTAAGACTACCAAGTCACAGGATGATGCTATAGTGGAGGAAGCTTTTAAAAATCGCCATACAACCTATTCTGACATTGCTGAGCAAGTTGCTCCCAATATTTCTAGTAGGACAGTAAGGAGAAGACTTGAAAAAAAGCATGTTAGAAAGTGAATGGTGCAAGATAGTTTATTTATATCAGGATCTAGCTCAAGAGATGTTGGAATGAGCATTAGCTTATAGGCATTGGACAATGGAGATGTTAAGAAGGAAGGCAATGTGTGTAACGTGTTCGCAAGGTGCTAATCACGTTATCGGTATTAGATACGATAGTTGGCAGGTGGCCTGCACTTCCAGAGAGGAGGCGAGAGCTGAGAACTAAAGAAGGCTTCAAGGGTGTACTGGGGAACAAATAAGTAACCGTTCAACCAAGTATATTGAAATACTGTGTGTCGAAGTCTGCCTTTTCTATCGTAGAAACAGGTGGTCTTTAAATACTCAAATCTGTTCATGTCTAGCATGAACGAAACTAATCAAAGGTATCAATTGATACTCTTTAGTAAAACTCCTTAAGTATCAAAGCGATACGTAAAACAAAACATAAAACAAACCCAAGTATCAAAACGATACTTAAAACCAACCAAGTATCAAAACGATACTTAAAACAAACCCAGTATCAAAGCGATACTTAAAATAAAACATAAAACAAAACCAAGTATCAAACAATACTTAAAACAAACCAAGTATCAGAGCGATACTTAAAACAGAACATACAACATAAAACAAAACCGACTAACCGAGTACCCGTACGGGTTACCATGTGTGGGGAATGAGGTAGCTGTGAAAAGGGGGGGAGGTAAGAGCAGAAAATAGGTTTTCAGATACTCATATGAGAAATGGAATAAGGATTATGTTGAACCTAAGACTAGGAGAGGGGAGAGAGGGATTAGCCAGATGATGACTGGTTGTTTTTATAGTTAAACTCATGGTCTTAGTGTTCCAGATCCTTCTTTGGCTAGGTGTGCTGTTGCTGGGAAGTCAATTATTTTATGTATATTATCATTATGACTTTCTACGGATGTGGGAGAATATCAGAGAAAAGGCTGGAGAAGTAGGGGTATTTTTTATTATTGACAATGCTAAGACTCACTTGCCTTTTACAAGATGGCTCAGAGGGCAGGAAATTACACTGATGGAAATTCCTGCCTATTCACCAGATCTCAATCCAATTGAAACTTATTTTATCTGGTGAAAGGTAAGCTTTACAGCACTACCCTGAGGTATATCCTATGAAGGGTGATGTCAATGGAGTCAGGTAGGTAATAGTAGGGGACATCAGTTATTGTTGGGAACTTCTGGACCAAAAGGCTTTTGATACTATGGCTGGATCAATGGTTGATAGAATAGAGAGAATTATTAAGGCTGATGGATGGTATACCATATATTAATTTCTACTGTGTATTTAAGTTTCTTAATAATTTCTTTTGGTTTTTGTAATAGGGGATGGATGGGTAAGTGTGGTTGTCATTGCCAAAGATTTTGTGCAGTTGAATCATGATTAATTTTATCTAAGCACAATAGTAAGTCCGTAAAGTCTTGTCGTTATCTAAGGAGAGGATTCAACTCATCTACCTCTTGCTGTAATTCCATTTCTGCAGAGGCTTAAACAAATTAAGACAGCATAGTGTATAATAGTGTACAGTTGTCATGAACGTAGCTTGGTGAGAAAAAGTCTTTCATGTGACTCACGATTATAAGCCATAGGTACATTATTGTTTCGCATGGATGACGCATTCGGGTAATATGACTTGTCATGTTATGATTGCTTATGTTTTGTATATGTCTGGAGTATGAGTCATCAGATGTGTGCCCGGCAAGTGTGCCTTGCAAGTATGCCTTACTGGTATACCTTGCGCATATGATTTATGTTGGGCACATGACATTGTTATGAGGTCATGGGATTTGCACACCTGAGGACTTAATGTCATATTACTTGTTTATTGTGATTGGATTAGTTT